CTCAAACTACAGTGTGCACTCAACCCCCCTGGGGATTTTGTTAAAATGCAGATCATGACTGAGTGTCTGCATAGAGTATCTCCCAGGTGATGCTGATGCAACTGGTCCAGTCTGTACTACAATTTGAGTAACAAGGACCTAGACTAAAAGAGTCACAGCAGATATGGAGAGAAAGAGGTGCGTGCATCAAAGGAAGATTTGGTAGAAGTTAGATGAAGTACTGATACATGCTACAACATGGATGAAACTCCAAAGCAGTGTGCTCAGTGAAAGAAGTCAGACACAAAAGAACACATACTACATGATTCCATAATGTCCAGTAAAGGCAAATGCATAGAGACAGAAAGTAGATTAGTGGTTGCCTAGGGCAGCGTGGAAAAAGAAGTGACTGTACATGGGCATGGGGATTTTTCAGGGATGATAAAAATGTTCTAAAATTAGATAGTGGTGATAGTTCTGAAACTTTGTAAATATACTAAAATTAATTGAATTGTTTCTTAAAGTAGATGAAATAGGTGGTGTGCAAATAAAGCTATTAATTTTTATTTTAAGAAAGTTTCAGTAGAAGTTTGTGTTTGAAACATAGGAGATAAAAGACGGGAAACAACACAAGAAAAAGCTGATATGTTAAGCCTGTGCCATAGATACGCTGGCCCTTGCTCTCTTGATCCCTCACCTGAAAGCAGTGAGCCTGGAGGGGCTCAGATCTGAGCTCAGAGCTATCCCAGGCATTTTAGACCCATACAAAACTAGAAAAAGCCCTCTTAGTAACTCAGATCCCAGCTTGGTTGTAACTACCTTCACGGCAGGGTCAATCAGGTTAGTAATCTAAACAACGTATCAAGGAAAAAGACAGAAATCATTAGAAAATATATAATGTAATAATATACTCATCCATTAAGTTTTAAATACTTATTCTCTATTCAGACCACAGTAATATCTCTCAGATTGAAAAACTATCTATCTTTAGGTTTCTGAGCACAAAATTGCACCTAGAAATCGCATTGCTTTTTACCACAATCTATCTGTATACAGCACTAGAACCTGAAGATTCTAGGTCAGTGTGGTTCCAGACCAGCAGCATCAGTATCATCTGAGAACTTGTTAGAAACACATCTTAGGCTCCACTCTAGACTTAAAGAATCAGAAACAGAGGGTGGAGCCCAGCAATCTAAGCCCTCCAGGTGATTATGTGCATGATAATGTTTAAGCAACACTGCTCTAGGTCATGCCCTATATGTATTTACCAGCCTCAGTTGGGAAATGATGTCAATTCAAAGACAAGAGCTACTGTGCTGTGAAGGCAGAAGTTATGATGGCAAATACAGAGCACAAGGGCAACCACTTCCATCTTCCCCATCTATGCCAATAACCACTAATTAATTACTGCATTTTTCACAATGAGCCTTAGTAGCAAGGGCTTTTAGTCAGTTTCCTATTTAGAAATCTGAGAGGAAACAACCTTACCAAAGTCCTGAACTAATGTGGAGTTGGGTAGAGAAGGCAGAAGTAGATTAGAAACTGTAACATGGAAGAATTTGGCAAAGAGTGAGAACCCAATACAGTATCACTGATTCCCCAAGGTTTTGGGTGGCATGGAGGAAATATAGAAGTTCCTATTCCCCAAGCTGAAGAACATATACTGAAAGACTGGTAGATCAAACATGGCCTGGAGGTCAAACAAATAAATCCACAAAGTGTCCATACTTCAAATCCAAAATGAATGGCAAAGTACCAGATGTTAACATGAGGTCCCAAAAGTCCAGGTGGGATCAGCCACATCTGATAGAAACCAATACAGGTTGCCTGTGACCAGGTGGGATAAACACAACTCAGCAGAGGTCAGAGAGGATCCTGAGGACAGCTCAGTCCAAAGACCCCTCTCCCAACTGCCATGTTCAAGAAAAATAAGCTTCCCCCTACCAGAAGAGAAGGGAAGAAGGGGAGGTAGAAGGGGGTTTCCTTGAGGAAAGAAATATGGTCCTGATAGGGAGTTTGAACTCTTATATTACCTAGTGTTTACTCAAAGAAGACAATTTTAAATTGGGAGATTGGGTCATCTTTGAGACTTGTGAGCTAGACAGCAATCTTAGAACAGTTGCAGGAAACAAAGTTTAAATTTTGGGCAAGCATCTGATTTATAACTGTTCATAAAGCTTTCAAAATATATCGATTCAGATTTTTTTTATCCTTAGGTGAGTCCCTTCTGGTTCAGCTAAAACAAGTGGGGGTAGGAGGCAGAAGCAAAGGTTGGCCAAGCCTTGGAGAGTTGACTGGCTCCAGGTTGCAACACGAGGTGCCCTTGTCCCACTTCAGAATGCTTCCCCTTCAGCCCAAAATGTTTCGACAGTTAGTGCCATTTGTTCCAGTCACATCTCACAGCTGGTAACTGGAGAAGGTGAACATGTGCTTCCAATATTCACTTTTCATAGACTCATTAGGTCAAAGATAGTCTGGCCAAACCCTCTCATTTTACAGATGAGGAAACCAAGGTCAAAGAAGCTAAACTAAATGACTCATGAGCTGTAGACAAGGCTGGACCTGGGATCCAAATTGCTCCACCTCCCTGTCTACTGCTCTTTCTAACACACCAAGCTGTTCATAAACCAGAAGTGATCAATTCCACACATGGTAGCCATATATCAAAACCCAAAGATTCAAAGCACCCATTTATGTTTGCTTCCCTTTTTCCTGCATTTGTTTTGAGAGATGTGAAGAGTTTCCTGATGAAAAGCTATTCTGAGAGAAGCAGAGATGAAGCCTTCATGATCTATGGCTGCCAAAGTTAGCTTCTTCACAGTTGTACCAGCACATTGGAGGCTGTGTGGCAGCCAAGCTGTCTTTGGTGCTGTATTAAGAGGTGTAAGTGTCTAGAATTCTGCAATTCAAAAGGACCTTCTGGATGGCAGCTGCCTCCTCTGAGTCTTTGAAGGACCACCCTGGTTTGACTGAAGGAGAACTTTGCATGTGTCATGGGGCATGACTTTCAAGGAGGGCCAGAATCCAAAGTCTTGACTGGTCCATGAGAATGTCAACGCACCTCAGACGGGATTTGGTACATATCTTATTTCTTCCATCCTCTAAAGAATTTTGTCTTAATTTGTATGGGAAGTAACATGGAAATCAAAGCAACTACCTGGATAATTTGATCCAAACTCACATGCTTGCTTTAAGTCTCCTGGAATGACTATTCGTGAATTGACTCAACTCTGAGTGTTATCTGTTACTGTGAAATACATCTCACGGGAGCTGTGCCTGGCTCAGGGTTCAGATTTGGAAGCCTACCTGCAACTCACATACAAAGTGACAAGAACCTTGCCAGTCACTCAGAACAAAGGATCTCCCAAACCCCTTCTTTGTCAGAGGCACTGAGAGAACCATCTCCTTAAATTGCATTTTCAACACTGATTTTATTGTGGGTTGCTACTTTTATATGTTTTTAAAACTTTCTCTCCATGTATAGGGTCTCCTCCTCCATAATAATAGCTGGAAGAATAACAAACATGGATAATTTTCTCTTTTAATTCTTGGGCTATGTGCCTGACTCCTACTGGCTCTAACATGAGGCAATCAAATAAATTCCATAAAGTTTACACCAAGTCTTGCTTGTTATCTGCTATTAACTATTTAATTTATGATTATTTTTGACATAGAGACGATGTGTATCTAGCTGTGGTATAAACGCTGATTCTAAAGACATCTTTGCTATCAATTAACATGTTTCACCATTTCCAGAACTTGAAGAGTTGTACAATGTTGTATCTGTCTAATGGTAAAGTCTGTAGGTATTTCAACATCAAAAGTTCCTCAGCAAATGGTAATATTGCCTTGCTGATGCCTAGCATTTCAATTTCAAATTCTCAGATTGGTCTAAATAAAACTTTCAAACCTTTCTCTCCCCTGACCTATATATTCCTCCTTGTTTTCTAGAAATGAGAAAAAAAATACACACATATGCAGATCTCATCTCCTTCCTTTGTCTCTCCTACTGCTTATGCCTTTACTCTACCCATTAACGCTGGGTGAGCTAGTTGTCTTTACTCTCATCTTACTCCAAGTCCTTGGAAGGCAGTTTGAGAAGGTTGATCTGGAGGTCACAGGGAGGCAAGCAGTACACATTTGCTCTAGAGCGCAGATTTCCTAGATACAAGTAACCTCATCTGCTCACTTGGATCGTCCTTCCAAAAACACAATCAAGGTTTTTGATGAGTATTGTGGAGCAGTTGTTAGCTCACAGCCACTAGCAGATGGGCTTCCTGGCATCTTTGTGCCTGGTGGGCTGAGTCCTTGGAAGAGATAGCACCATGAAAGAGAGAAGAGAGAAGAAAAACCATCCTAGGATATCAGCTCCGAACCCCCATGGTGAAGGGTTACATACCACTATCTGCACTGGTGGCAAATAAGCAGGTGCATTTTATGTAAAAATACTTTCTACCAGATTTTTCATGGATGACATTATTTGCACAACTGAAGCTTTTTAAAAAATCTCGACTCTGAATGATTTTTCACACGAGAACCATATACTTACAGAATTTAGAGCTAGGAAAGATCTTGCTCTTATCTAGCTGAGCACTCTCATTTTAACAAAATGGAAACTAAGTCCAAAAAGTTTAAGTGGTTTTCCCAAGTTCCTAGACTAGAGGAGCCACGGTTAGAACTAACTGAACTTTATAAGCATAATTCTTTAAAAAAAACAAACAAAACCCATTGTTTTAATTATTTGTAAAGCAATACATGTTGAGAGAGAGGCAGTATTTGATAGCACACAATAGAGGCAGTCTATCATAATGGAGTTAAAAAAAAAGACAACAGGCCCAAATGGAATGGCTTATGCTAAGCCCCACATCACCAAATCAAGACTTAATTATAGTTTGGCTCCCCCAGAAATGGACTCTTAAACCAGTCAACCAGGAATCACCTGATCAGCACTAGCCAGGTACTCTAAGTGATAGAGCCCTTCTGTCCCCTAAAGGAAAGTAACATTGCAATAACCAACTCACTTTTGCCGAGTATAACTTCCTTGTTCCTGCTTCCTTCTTTCATTTTGTACGGCTCTTTGGAGTTTTTGTCTGTCTGCTAGATTGGATGCTACCTGAAACATGAATCATTGAATAAAGCCAATAAGATCCTTTTACTGAAAAGCATCGATAGGCTTTGGGGTAAGCATATCTAATTTCAAGGCTCAGCTCTACTATGCTTTAACCATGTATCCTTGGGGAACTTACTAGACCTCTCTTACCCTCAATTTCCTCATCTGTAAACATTTGGCTAATAGTAGCATAGCAGACAGTTAGTAATATAACCCATCCCTTCCTTATTTGTAACAGAATTCTGATCCTGATGACAAGAGGGGACAATTCCTACTGTCCATAAGGAAGCCTGGGGCAATTTTGATGCATATCAATGCAAATTCCTTATAAATAATTTTATTGGTAGCACTGTCTGGATGGGGGCTTGAAAATGTTTTTTCTCTGGCTCAAATCTGCTCTCACAACTCTGATTTTTTTAAGTTCTCTACCTTCTTTCTCCATATGCTCCAGGGAGGCAACAAAGTTTGAAGGCAATGAAGCCAACCATGGTGGTCCCTTTCTCCTCTCAATGGATGGTTGGCGTAGGCGTGGGCATGTGAAGCAGTTGTGTGTACTGTCTTGGGAAGTGCGAGGCTTCTGGGAAAGGTTTACAACAAGAGATACATTGGGAAAGAGACAGGATGTTGCCACTTGTGGATGTGACAGGCAGTCATCTTGGGGCTATGAGGGGAGCTTGCTTAAGGACCACCTGCCATGCTGACAATGGCAGAGCAAAAAGACTGAAATACCAGATCTTGAGGTTTCTGAGTTTATCATCCATGGAGCCATTCTACCATGGAATTTCTTATAATCTAAGGTAATAAAGCTCTGTTGTTTAAGCCAGTCTTGTGTTCCTTATAGCTGAATGCATCCCAACTAGAACAGTAGTTCTTATAAGGTTATTCTGAATAGTAAATGATAAATGCAGTATGGGAAATAGCATATGATCAAGCACAAAGAAAGAAATATTACTTGTCACTATTGTGGTAGTTATTTTTATAGGAGAATATGAAGTGAAAATAAATATCTCCCACACTTCCTCATCCTATTCTCTAGTAATAAAAACTTAATAATGTCTTATGTATCCTTACATCAATTTTTTTTTTTTGCAGTATGCGGGCCTCTCACTGTTGTGGCCTCCGGATGCGCAGGCTCAGCGGCCATGGCTCACGGGCTCAGCCACTCCGCGGCATGTGGGATCTTCCCAGACCGCGGCACGAACCCGTGTACCCTACATCGGCAGGCGGGCTCTCAACCACTGCACCACCAGGGAAGCCCCTTACATCAATTTTAAAAAACAAAAATAAAATACTACGTATACTGTTTTTTCAATTTCAAGAGTTTTCCTAAAAGATATGTTGATGCCCAAAGTAACTTGCCAACCCAGTTGGAAATTACCTTTAATCCCCAAGAGTGTGTTTCACTAAATAATCTTCCAAAGATTTGGAAATATTGCCTTCTAGCTAAAAACATTTGGTTTTTCAAAAGTTTCCTTTTAAATGTAGAAAAAAAGAAAATTCTTAGAAATGGCAAAGGACATAAAGAACCAGCATAGACTGCCCTTGCGCACATTAAGGGTTAGTTCCTAAGAGCCATGGCCTGACACCCTGACAGGAGATTTTTGTTGGAACCGAGTTTTACAGTATCTGTGGAAGTAGAGTGGCAGTTACGCTATGGGACTGTGTCAATGACTGGATCTGTTTCCAAGGGCATGTCATGCTAAATCAAAAGACCATCCAGACACATCCTGCAGCTCTTGTCCTCTAAGGACCATATGCTGTTCCCTCTGGTAACATGGGCCACAGAAATTCAACCGAAGTTCAAGAGACCCAAGAGGAAATCACCAAGCAAAGTGGGTGAGAAGAGGCTGAATGTCAGCCCAAATCTCCTCCAGAAATGATGGGCAGTCAGGGAGCATTTCTGACTGATGAATGAGATGCAAAACAACGAGGATCCAAGATCTTTTCAGATCTCTTTCTTCCCTTGGAATTTGTAATAACTATTCCTTCTGAGCTCTATGGGCCATGGAAGCATAAAAATGCTTATCCACTGACAGGAGTAAGGGAAGTGATTAAAAATTCCCCAAAAGTTCAGACCTGTCCAGAAACTTCCTGTTTCTAAAATATGGTTGGGGAAGCACTTCTTGACACTTTAATGGGGGGAAAATCTGCTATTTGGGTAGAAACGTGGTGTAGTGTGACTTTGGAGTTAAGTCAAAGGTTCTCACCCCAGCTGCATTTTAGAATCACACAAGAAGGTTTGTTTAAATGCTGACACCAGGACCCTACCCCAGGCTACCAGTTAAATCAGGATCTGTGGGACTGGGGTTCAGGCATACGTAAGCAGGTAGGTATTTAAGCATGTGTACATGAGTTTTCTGTTTCCCAACTGAGTCCAGGGGTGAGAATTTACTGAGTTAGGCCTGGAATTAAATCCTGGCTCCCCACCTTCTAAACTATGTGACCACAGACACATTATTTCCTCTCTAGGCCTCAGTTTCCTCATTTGTAAAGTGGGGATTACAATAGTATAATAGATTAAATAATGCATGTAAAAGACTTAGCCTAAAACTCGATAGGCCACATCAGGTCCATCCTCTCTATACGGGACTGTCACTGCATCCCCCTGCAGAGTGAGGTCTGCACTAGCAGAAAGAACCAGTAGGTGCAGCAAGTACTGGGAGAGTTCATTAAGAAAAGAAAGTGCCACTTTCTCTTATCTGGCCCATCTGTTGAGCTTGTGAATTCCTGGAAGAAAGGAAGTGTCTTGAAATTGCCACTTAAAATGAGTGCATCAAAAAGGATTCCACAATGAGGCCAAAAAATCCTTCTCCACCTCTTCTCTCCACTGGCAGTCAAACGGGAAGATGATGAAAAGGCTACCACGCCCTGCTGTGGACACTGGCCAACCTGTTACAAATGTTCATAGGCAGTAAACAACCATCGTGTTGACCCCGACACAAAAGATGCAGAAAAGCAAGGACCAGTATTCACCTGACACCAAGCATGACCAGTGAGGCTCCGCCTAAAACAGGCCAGGATTTCCATAAGATTACAACTCTGAATGTTGTCGCCACCACTATACTTAGGATCCCTGGAGCTGGGGACTGTATTTTTAAACACTAGCTACCACTTATTGAATGCCTTCCAAGTACTAGGCGTGCATATATATATAATTTATCTCATTTAATATTTATAATATTTAAGGGAGGCAATGCTATCCCCCCACTGTGAAGAGGAGAAACCTAAGGCTTAGGAAGAGGAAAAACTTGTCAAATTCACGTAAATCAAGAGGATGACCAGATTTGAACCCAAGTCTGTGTCTGGCTCTAAAGATTTTATATTTCAGGCCTAAAAAATTGTCTGGCATATGGTACACCTTAATGTTTGATGAATGAAGCAAGTTGTTTTTTCCCAGAAGAAAAGCAAAAGAACTCAATGTCAGCATCAATATCATCTTCATAATCTCTACCAGCCTTTAGTGATTTCTTCTGAACCACAGTCAGGAACAAACCCACCTAAAGGCAGCAGAGGTCTCCCCAAGTTTGCTATGGATTTTTTTAATCAACCTGAAAAACACTAGGCTTAGTGACTCATAATTTTGTTTGAAACATGAAGGTGAAACTAATACATGTGTACCTGTCTTATCTCCCCAACTTGACTGTAAGCCCCCGAAAACAGAATTAGGCATAATACATCATACATTATCCCATAAGCCTAAGAAGACATACGTGTCATACTTGAGAAATGCTCAAGGGCTGGCTAAAATCCTACTGTGAACTCGGCCTCCTCTCAACATTTTTATCCATGTGGAATAAAATTAGAATGAACACTCAGGATAGACTAGAAGGAGAGAAGAAGTCACAAATGGCAGCATGAGGCATGGATGTAAAAGGGCAGAGCAGCCCTCCCTGCCTCTAAGCTGTGATGGTGGTGGAAATCTTAATTAATTCCATGTCTAAATGTCTACTCATCTCTAGCACACCTCACAGGCCCCGCACCTTCTCATTTGCTGTCTCCAAAAATACACCTTTGGTTAAGTAAGTTCTACAATAGTGGGAGGGACAGGAAAAGGAAGCAGGCCATAGTCCACGAACACAGACAAACTTGGAAGCATTGGATCACAGGAAATTTAAACTTAAAGCTCCTTAGAAAGTACAGAGTTAAGCCTCTCAGTTTCACAGACAAATGAACTAAGACGTCACATCAAGAATTGATGGCTATACAACAAACTAGTGCCAAGGCGAGAACTTGAGCCCTGGCTCCTGACTCCCAATCCTCTGCTGTTTTGACTTCCCTAGGCTGCCTCTTTAAAGAATCAGTAAGGGAAGAGCCTACAGGCTGCCTGGGAAAAGTCGGGAGGCTGCCCAGAAGTTGGGTTGGTGAGGGCAGTGCAGACAAAGAAGCCAAGCACAGGCTTGCCTAAGATACTACACAAGTGGGTCCAGTCTGGCCCTCCTGGGGCCATGATTTCCCCTGCACACACGGTCAGAGCAAGGGCCATTCAACTGCTCACTTCAAGCAGAGGTATTTCTGACCATGTGACCTTGGCTTTGTTAGCTGCTGCAAGGATGCAGTAAGCTGACCAATCACAGTCACGAAAACCTAAGAATTCAAGTTTTCAGAAATCAAAGGCCTCCTAGTTCCATATAATCAGGTCTAGAGAGAAAAGAATGGTTTTTGGATTCTGAACTTTTCAAATTAATCAGGAAAAGACATTTATGATGCCAACACACATGTAACTAGTCTTCCTTACAGCCTGATAGCAAGAAAAGGAAAAGAAGACCAAATTACTCATGTGAAATTAATAGCTTCAAAAACCTGAAAAAAACAATAGCTGCACAGATTATCTAGAAGAAAAGGAAGGTTTTCTTCCTTAAGCCTCAAATACTTAAATCTTTTCGTTATGAAATCATGTTCAATTTAAATTTCTTACGTTGTCCCAGAATAGCCCTCCTTGGCAACCTGTGCCAATCTTGGATGAGTCTTACTTTAACAAATTTCTCTTATTGGCTAACACAGGT